TTTGACCCCTCTCTAGCGCCATTTTTAATGCAAAAATCAAAGAACAAAAACCGATGTGCACAACTTCAATGCTTCTTCTTTTCAATTTCAAAGGGTTTTGTGCTCCAATTATTACAGTTTCAGAGCCTTTGTCTGGAAACCAGAGGCATAAAAAATTCAATAAAAGGGGAATAACTCGTGAACAGAAGGTAATTTCCGAACTGTATTACAATATTCTGAGAGTGTTTAGTAAAGTCTAAAAGCTCTGAAAATTTGAACAAAATCCGTTCAGAAATGAGGAAGATATGAAGCTTCAAAGTTGGCGTCTAGAAAAAAAAAAGAATAATAAGAACTAGATGGTTCTCGTTGCGAGCAACGAGTGGGTCTTCCGTCTGATTTTAGATGAGATTAATCAAGATCTTGACTGAGATATCTGTCTATGAAAGTGAAAGGATGCATATTGTTTATAACATTATTCTGAACATATTTTGTTCAATATTGCTTATCAAAATATTTCTCCTTTTCGAGATACAAAGTGTCAAAGATTCAGCATTCTGGCCCCTTATGGCCCCTTATTACGTAACATATGATCAAAATTTTATAATATATAGTTGCAGAATGTTAAGATAAACATTTTTGCTTCAGTAATTTATAACAAAGTATTGATCATTAAAGAGTTATAGATTAAAGACTTTTGGCCCCTCTGAGCCCCTAATTTGAGGGGTCAGCCCCTTTTTCTTGATATCAAATGAAAGGTCTTGTGATTTTGAAGACTTTTTGTTCAACAACTATTCAGAAATTTCCTTTCGTTTAAGAGATATATAGAATAACAATATTTAGGGGCCAGCCCTCCAAGTCCTTAATGGGGATGTCTTGCAAAAATTAAAAGGGTGTATATTGTTTAGAACATTATTCTGAACATCTTTTGTTCAATATTGCTTATCAAAATATTTCTCCTTTTCGAGATACAAAGTGTAAAAGATTTAGCATTCTGGCCCCTTATGGCCCCCTATTACGTAACATATGATCAAAATTTTATAATATATAGTTGCAGAATGTTAAGATGAACATTTTTGCTTCAGTAATTTATAACAAAATATTGATCATTAAAGAGTTATAGATTAAAGACTTTTGGCCCCTCTGAGCCCCTAATTTGAGGGGTCAGCCCCTTTTTCTTGATATCAAATGAAAGGTCTTGTGATTTTGAAGACTTTTTGTTCAACAACTATTCAGAAATTTCCTTTCGTTTAAGAGATATATAGAATAACAATATTTAGGGGCCAGCCCTCCAAGTCCTTAATGGGGATGTCTTGCAAAAATTAAAAGGGTGTATATTGTTTAGAACATTATTCCGAACATCTTTTGTTCAATATTGCTTATCAAAATATTTCTCCTTTTCGAGATACAAAGTGTAAAAGATTTAGCATTCTGGCCCCTTATGGCCCCCTATTACGTAACATATGATCAAAATTTTATAATATATAGTTGCAGAATGTTAAGATGAACATATTTGCTTCAGTAATTTATAACAAAATATTAATCATTAAAGAGTTATAGATAAAAGACTTTTGGCCCTTCTGAGCCCCTAATTTGAGGGGTCAGCCCCTTTTTCTTGATATCAAATAAAAGTTCTTGTGATTTTGAAGACTTTTTGTTCAATATATTTTAACAAAATATTTTTATTTAAAATGTTATTATAAGAAATGTCTCTAAAATTCACTCAAAAATTTCGTCCTAAATTTCGACCCCTACCGAGCCTCCATACTTCGCACTTCCGGAAAATTTGAAAACCAAGGTGCACATCTAGAACATGTCCTCTATCACCACTGAAAGTTTCAACACTCTAGCATTTGTCGTTCTTGAGTTTTTGTGCAGACACAAGGTCTATCTAAAAATCGATCAAAGGGCGATAACTTCAGACCGGAAGTGATTTTTCAAAAACTGAAGCAGCGTTATAAACTTCAGAGAGCAACGCCTTAACCCTGAAAATTTGAAGCAAATCAATCAAGCGATCTCCGAGAAATCTTCTGCACAAAATCGGTAAGGAAAAAAAAAAGAATAATAATAATAAAAAGAAAAGTGAAAAATCAACAATAGAATAATAGAAGGGTCTTCCGCAGAAGACGGAAGACCCTAATAATCTTAACCATCAGAATCAGTAGAAGGTCTTCCGTTGGAAACGGAAGACCTTAATAATCTTAATCATTACAATCAGTAGAAGGTCTTCCGTTGGAAACGGAAGACCTTAATAAACTTTCTTACACGAAAAGAGAAAATTAATGAATAAGGTATTATTCAAATACAATCAAAGCTGTAAAATTTTGTGCTTTAATCAATACATTTCAATTTTTGTCTGAATACAGTCTTTTGTATCAAATACTCGGCCTATTCATAGGGCGTTAAATGCTAATTTTAACAAAGGTACTTGGGTCTTGGTTTATAGATAAGTATGAGCCTTATTAGTCCCCTACCGGTGAAACCGGAGGGGACTATAGGTTTCCTCTGAGTCTGTCCGTCCGTCCGTCCGTCTGTCTGTCTGTCTGTCTGTCCGTCTGTCCGTCTGTCAGTCTGTCCCACTTGGTTTTCCGCACTGTTTTCCTAAACGCTTGCAGATAATGAACTGAATTTTGGTATGTGAGTGTATCTTGATGAGTTACAGATCAAGTTTGCATTTCGTTTCGCTTCACTGATTTTTGACGGAATTACGGCCTTTTCAAGTTTTAGGGGTTTTCCGCAATTTTCTTCTAAACGCTTTCAGATATTGAGCTGATCTTTGGTATGTGACTTTACCTTGATTAGTTATAGACCAAGTTTGCATTTCGGACCGCTTCATTGATTTTTGACGGAATTATGTCATTTTCGATTCTTAACGGGAACCAGATTACACTTGCCGGTAGGGGACTAGTATTGCTAATGCAATACTCTCAGAATGCTTGTTGATATATGTATGTAAAAAAAAGTAAAGTACATTTTTACATATCAATGAGGTACGTACATATTTATAAACCAAGATCCAAGTACCTGTGAATTTCTAACCCCCCCCCCCCCCAAAAAAAAATCAATTTATCAGTAAAATGTGCATATCCATTGCTTTCATCCTTGAGGGAAAAGAAATAAAAGCATCTGAAGAACAATATCCATATATCCATAACATAGTATAACAGGTTTCACAATAAATTAAACTTCAATTAATGAAATTGTTATTTTTCAAGTTTTTACGAAAGGGGGTGGGGGTGGAGACGTACATCTACTTCATGCGGGATTTTGGACAAAGTATTTCTTCCTGCTGTAATCCTATAGGCAATCAGTAGAAACTACAATATATTTTCTGTCGGTAGTGGTAGAAATTCAATTCCCCGCGCTTGCGCGGGATTTTATCTAGTGTCTATATAAACAAATAGGATATACATGTATTTCTTACATTCAACTCGTTGACTATGCACAAATAAGTGACTGTATAATTTAAGGATATCGAAGGATAAAGTTTTAATCAGAGCAGAGGGAAAATGCACAAACTAAACTATGATATTCGACATAATGATATGTAAAATACGTTTCTTGTCCTTGCTGATGAATGAAGACTTTGTAAGAAATAAGACTTCACACTTACAAGAATTACATTCCTGTTCATGATACCCTGGATTGCATCCATTCTTACAATGTCCGTCAACAAAGTTACAGGTTTCATTATTGATACAGTGTCCACTACACCTTTGCCTGCAGTCACCGTAGGTACCCTCTGTACATTCTAGTTGATGGAAATAAAACATATATACCCAAAATGTTAGATTCCTAATTTCAAATATAAATAACTTTGATTGTGTATGTGTGGATTAAAGGCTATGCAACATAACTTTGACATCAGCGCCGGTTTCCTTTTAGTTAATTCACAGGCAAAAGTGGCTTACATAAATTTTATAAGAAATCCACACGAATTTCATGTAAATTCTTTGCATGAGAAGGAGACAAAAAAACAAGACATGTGAAATTTATGTGAAAACTTTAAGCCATTTTGACCTAACTTTCATATGAATTTTACATGAAGAGCATATCACATAAAAATCGTGCAGAGAAAACTCCACATGAAAGTTCTAAAAAATATATATGTGATTATTATATAGTCTATAAATATCCCCTGTATAATCTATACAAACGTAGACAGTTCATAACACTACATATTCACCGGATTTGAAGCCGTATTCACCGGAGGGTCAGTGCGCGTGCAATGGCATTGTGACGTCACAATCAATACCTCAAACAACGTTGAAAACAATGGTTGCAACGGCCGGAGCTAGCTGAATATATGAGCAGGAAAAATTATTTCGCAAGTCTATCACAAGATTATTTTCTTAACATTTCGATGTCTTACACACAGCGAAAAGAAAACACGGAAGTTATAAGTTGTAATCTGGACATTTGTTAAGTTTATACGACAGAAGTTCGTTCGTCAGGCGGCCTTTAATGTCTTATTCATTAAATCCTGACTATATAATAAAACAATTATGGACTCTTTCGATGGTGAATATGGTTTGTAATTCACCAGAAAAATATCAATATGACCGAGGCGAAGCCCGAGGCGAAGCTTATTCTGGTGAATAACAAACCATATTCACCATCGAAAGAGTCCATAATTGTATATTATCATACAAACTTATTCACATGATAATCGCATGAAAAAATATTTATATAATTTTTACATGATTTTCACATAATTTTCAAATAAAAAGATAATCACATGAATATCATGTAAGCCACGTTTCCCTGTGATACACATATGTACATCTAAATGTATTCCCCTTTATAAAAATGTGTATTCCTAAGAAAACGTTGATTAAACACAAAGCATTGTTCACATGTTCGATAGAACTTCACAATTGAACATGTCTTGAGGATTTTATAACAAACGTAGAAAAAGATGTAATAAACGATGTTAATTAAAGAAAATTTAAAGCTTATTTCATACCCCACGTGTAATCTTGTAACTCCTAACCAACCACCCCCACATTTCTGCTAACAAAAGGTTATACATCTGTAAAAAGCACAGGATACATGGAAAACATAACATAAATCTGTTAAAACTTTTTGATATTGCACATTATTAAAAAGAAAAACCCACTTTCATCACAGATTAATCCCTGGAATCCTGTTTGGCAGCCATTAACACACATTCCATTTACATTGTTGCAAGTTTCATTATTCGCACAGTTACCGCTGCAGTTTTTGATACAGTCTTTACCAAATCTACCAGCAGGGCATTCTAAATGGATACAACAAAAAACTTTATAACGCCTTATTCAGGAGGGTAATTATATCAATTAGATTTCCTCATACATTGTATTCAGCAAAACTTGAAATAGTTTGCATGCCTTTATACCGTATTCCATGATTACGGTGATATAAATAATTTGAAGTTTTTTTGGCCGATCAGTAAAATATGCCCCCCCCCCCCCTCCAAAAGCAAACATTTTCAAAATGTCTATCGGCAAAATAATGATAGACACATCATAAAAATGAGTAAGTATAGGTGACATAATAGATGTCGAAAAGTTTGAATATGCAGTTTCGTGGGGCGTGGATTTCCAGAGATTACCACACCTCATGAAACTGTATATCCGATAGTACGAGACTTTTATGATGTAAGTAACTTGTCACATATCTGATGACGCGTGTGTCAGGCGTTAAAATTTAGTCATTATATAGAAATTGTGAGGGAATACGATATACTTCGAATGTAATGGAATTGGAATGTATCACTTTAAAATCTTCACATTTTGATAATTTGGATAATTTGTTCTGTAACAAAGAGCTACATGTAAATTAATATGATTTATTTGATTTTTTTTCCTTCAGTTCGTTTTGTTTTAAAACATTTTATCAAGAAGCGTTAGAATTCATTCTTACATTGTTTGTAACACTTTTTCTTATAGCTAGGTGTCTCTTACAGTAATACATGTATATGAGGGCTCGTGGAAAGTATCATCGCACGTGTGATATAGGCTGTATCACAACAGAACGATCAAAGAAATAAGCCGCAGATATGTGACAATGAATTTTAAAGCATTTTTATTCGTTATTATTTTATTTTTTGTACCTTTTTCTAATAAATTTACATGTATGTATATGATTTAAACTGTTAATTAAAATTATCATTTAGTGATAATCGTGTGGGATTTCGAAATTTATAAAAATACAGAATTTCATTTAAGCCAAAATTAATTAAATATCTCAATGCGTTTGATGACTTATTAATAAAATATATGAGTAAAAAATGATAAAAAATGAAATCCGCCAAAATATATAACACTAATATTTCAAACTCAATTTTGATATCAAATTTCTCAATTATTCCCGAAACCAAAATAACCCCTCATGTTTTCGAAGTTCGATCCGTCAAACATTGAATTTTAAACAGTAACTTTAACCTTGATCACATCCATTGCTGACATATCCAGGGGAACAACCTTCATCACATTCTCCTGTCACAATATTACATGAGGTCCCTTTCAGACAGTTGCCACTACAGTGTTTGGAACATCCTATCCCAAATGTCCCTGGAATACAAGCTGGAAAAAATGGGTTTTACTACATTATATATATATATATATATATATATATATATATATATATATATATATATATATATATATATATATATATATATATATATATATATATATATATATATATATATTAAACAAATATAAAAAGAAAACACAAGAATCCTCCGTAAAGCTTTAGCGCTTTCATTAAAAATCTTCAGAAGCTTTACATTACAAAAATGTATACAACGGTAACATAGTAACAATGATTATGACGTTAAACTAAGCGGAACGTTTAATGTCTATATTGTGACGTCATAGATAAAATACTGCAATGATGATGAAAAAGTTCGGGAAAATCATAGGTAGTTTATAAGAGACTATTAAGTTTTGGCTTTAGAATACAAATAAAATGTTTTTCTTTTTCCCGTCTCTGGATATCACTGGCACTGGACTACCTGACAAACTTTGAATTCCGAGAGAGCCAATTCTATGGTTTACCTAAAGTTCACAAGTCTAAAATTATTAAGGACGCCATAGCAAATCAAAATAGTGTATGTATTACGTGTCTAGATCCAGGTGATTTATGCTTCAGACCCATTGTAGGAGGACCAAACTCATCAACACAAAGACTGAGTCACTTATTGGATATACTTTTAAAACCATATTGTCAAAAAGTACCCAGCTTTGTAAGAGACGATCTTGATTTCATAAATCATTTACCTACTCAGATCACCTGTAACACAAAACTTGTCACTTTTGATGTCGTTAGTTTATATACTAATATTCCTACAGAATTAGGATTGGAAGCTGTAAAATTTTGGATGGAAAGTTATCCCGATATACTAAATGACAGATTCCAACAGAATTTTATTTTAGAAGCACTTAAATTAGTTCTAGAAAACAATTCATTTGCTTTTTCTGACCATCATTACCTTCAAGCTAAGGGAACTGCAATGGGGACGAAAGTCGCACCTACCTATGCAACATTAACCTTAGGTTATTTAGAACATAAGTTACATGAACAATTATGTTCGTTGTGGGGAATAGAATCTGCAAATAATATACAGTCTAAATGGAAAAGATTTTTAGACGACTGTTTTATCTTATGGGATGATGATGTCGACAAATTATCGGAGTTTTACGATCTAATAAACCAAATGAACTCGGATATCAAATTCACGATGGAAACAGATGATACGCAAATGCCATTTCTCGATGTTCTTATATCAAAAGATAATACCAGGTTAAATACGGATATATACTATAAGCCGACAGATACACACCAATATCTGCATTTCGGATCGTGCCATCCCCACCATACTAAAACGGCTATACCATATAATCTCGCAAGAAGGATCTGTACCATTGTGAGCAATATTAATACGAGGGATATCCGTTTGGAGGAATTAAAATTGTATTTAGTGAGCCAAAAATACCCAGAGCAACTGGTAGATAATAGTATTATGAAAGCCAAGGAGTGTGATAGAACACAATTACTTTCAAACACACGACGTGCGAAGGACGGAGAAACTATACCCTTTGTTCACACGTACAATCCGAGAAATAAAAACATCAATTCAATTGTTTATGAATTAAATAGCTTACTTAGAGAGGATGAACAAACGAAAACTACATACAAAAACTGTCGTTTTATCAGCAGTAAACGTCAGCCTAAAAACCTTAAGAGAATACTTTGTTCCTCCCAATTCGCTGACCATAATTATACAGTGTCAAAGTGTACGGACCCTCGCTGCGGCACATGTGACTACATTACAGAAGGGACGAGTTATAGTTTTAACGGGCGTGAATTTAAAGTTAATGCCAACATGTCATGTGATACGAAAGATGTCATATACGCCATCATATGTCCTGGATGCAAAGAATATTATATTGGTGAAACTGGCAACAGTCTCCGTGCCCGTGTACGTGTACATAAGCAACACATCAGTACACCTGAATATAGACAAATCCAGTTAAGTGCACACCTGGAAACTTGTGGAAAAAAACGATTTAACATTTTCCCTTTTTATAAACTCAGATGTGCCAGTGATATCCAGAGACGGGAAAAAGAAAAACATTTTATTTGTATTCTAAAGCCAAAACTTAATAGTCTCTTATAAACTACCTATGATTTTCCCGAACTTTTTCATCATCATTGCAGTATTTTATCTATGACGTCACAATATAGACATTAAACGTTCCGCTTAGTTTAACGTCATAATCATTGTTACTATGTTACCGTTGTATACATTTTTGTAATGTAAAGCTTCTGAAGATTTTTAATGAAAGCGCTAAAGCTTTACGGAGGATTCTTGTGTTTTCTTTTTATATTTGTTTAATATTGTAATCCGATTACTGAGACTTTATTTCAATTTTGGATATATATATATATATATATATATATATATATATATATATATATATATATATATATATATATATATATATATATATATATATATATATATATATATAAAGCACATTTTACAACAACTCTTAAACTAACATAACTGCCCTAAGTGAAGAAATATTAATATAGAAAGGACAAAGAAATTCACTTTTATAAGGATACCCACTTCCGCCCAAGCCAGGGGTTGAACTTTCGACCTACGGAATCTGTCTCCTAGCAGTACAGGAACAGCGTGCTAGACCGCTCGGCTATCTTAGCAAGTCAAAAACTTTCTTTCGATGCCGATGGAATTCTCACGGCGCTGCTCTACACTACACGGTCATTGAGAATGGAAGTGAGATACAGTTATTTAGGCATTAGTTTTATTAGAGGATCGTTACCAATACACGTTGCAATGAAATTAACTTTTATTTATAAAGCACATTTTATCTAGCCGAGCGGTCTAGCTCGCTGTTCCTGTACTGCTAGGAGACAGATTCCGTAGGTCGAGAGTTCAACCCCGGGCTGGGGCGGAAGTGGGTATCCTTATAAAAGTGAATTTCTTTGTGCTTTCTATATTAATATTTCTCCACTAAACGCAGTTATGTTAGTTAAAGAGTACATTTTAAAATTTGCTTTATGAATAAAATTAATTTCATTACAACGTGTATTTAGTTGTTAGTAAATTTAGTTGTTATTTTCAAGATTTTTGAAAAAAAAATTGTAGATCTATCACGTGTCATTAATAACTGTGCAAGTTTGTTGAGCAAAAAAACAATTGCAGGGTGTATTAATTAGCAATTATTCGGGGACATGATACCATCAATTGTGGAATTGCGATTTATGTAAGATATTTATGTAAGATTAAGATTACTTTCTCAACAGCTGAACAAAATGGTATTTAGAATATGAAATCTCTCTCTCTCTCATATAAAATGAGATTTAAACTATTAGATAAATGCTTCCAAATCTATGTTGTGAATAAATCTGTGATTTCAATGACATTTTTAAATTAATAGTTGAACGGATCGCTATTAAACAGATATTAAAAGATTCCTTCACTGACCAAACATTTATTTCTGACATATACACTGAAGTTATCTTAACTAAGCATATCCTTCAACTTTATGTTTCTTTTCGGTGAAATTTATACTAGAAAAAATTGCCTTTGTAGGTTATATGAAATAAAAATTATGCTTCTCATATCCACTTGTATCCGTTTTAAAGGAGCCGCATCGCATATTATGCGGAGACCAATCCGGAAAAAAATCTCCTCCAATTGTCTCTTAGTTTTATTCTCGAATTCCATTTCTTGTGAGCATTTTCAAAGAAGTCTCATTCAACCAGACACTCGGTTGTCTCCGTAAGCTCCGACCAGCAGAGAATCCAGTAAAGAGTAATGATAGCGTCATAACGAGGCTTACCGAAATTCTGGTAAATTTGTGATTGGCTGAAAAGAACACACCTCCACAATTAAATCAAACACATATAAATCAGTAGAAAAAAACTTAAAAGATTTAAAAATTGAATGTCTGTTAGTAAAAGCAGCTAGAAAGGAATTTTTAACGGTATTGCCCACCAGTTATGGGTGAGTGTGTTATACACTGTCTTGCCAAAATCATTTTCAGAAGCAAAAGAGAAAGTAGTGTACCCTACCGGCGAAGAACATAATTCGTCGATTGTTATTGTTCTTTCACCTTTTATATATCTAATGAGATATCGATTTATTGATATAAAATCACAATCCTACAGAAAAAAATTATTGAACATTTGTTTTCAAAGGAGTTATCAAAATAAAAACAAAGTAACACCCCCTTGTCGGTTACAAACGCTATCGTGGCTCTTTACCAGACTCTCTCCTGGTCCAGTTTTACTGAGAGAACCGAGCGTCTTGTTGAACGAGACTATTTTCAAAGAGAGATGGCTACTCTGTTTATAAAAACATTCAAAGATAATGCGTACAATTTTCACACATTGATATGCGATGGGTATAAAACAACCCTGTAGATCAGACATTAATAGTATTACAATTTACAAGATGCCGAATTCTTATCATATCAAAACAAGCCATCCCTATACTTACGTGCTGAAAACAAAAGTAGGTGCAAATGCATTTTATGTAGATTATAAATATACATAGGTTTACACAATAATATATTTGTTGTTTCCATTTATTTATCTTTTGTTTAAGGTGTTTGCTACCAGAAGTTCAATCATATACACTTGGTTTACCATGTACTTAATAAGTATGTATGTCTTTGGCTATTTAAAATCTAAATGCATTTTACAAATATTTCAAATTGTGTTTTTAACTCCTCTTTCTATAATATAAGTTTAAAACCTGATGAATATCATCAGTGTACATTTTGAAATTCTAGTAGTTTCAATAAACTTTTTTATAAAGCTATCTAATTTCGAATTTAGCATTCTTGATTATATAAGACAGTGCTTCATTTTTTGATTGTAAGGAACAAAAATGAAGACTTTGATATTGGCAATTAAATAACTTTATGATAAAGTTGCATCAAGTATCAAATATTTGGTTACACTGTGAGATGTTAAGTAGATTTACATGTACTTTAATCAGAGAGTATATTTATGAACAAAGAATTTTTATCATTATTTTATCAAAAAAAAAAAAAAAAAAAAAAAAAAAATCGAGTATAAAACATATCTCCCTCATATACTTTGTCGCCGATATATTAATTAAAAAAGCCTCCCTCCCTCATCTGTATTGGAGAAAATTGGCCTGGGAACCAGAGGATTAAATTTATGTAGTCTGATCATGAGATATTTCATGTTATTAATATAATGAGTACACATTTTTGAGACAACAAATTCATATTAATATTTCACTAGAAGTAAAAGGTATCAAAATAAGTTAAATAGATTGATAGTGTTATTGAGAGTTATATAACCTTTATCACACTTTGCCCCTTTCCATCCAGCGATACACCCCACACATATTCCATTTGTTATGTAACACCTGTGTTCTTGACAATTTGCAGGACATCTATCGAAACAATTCTTTCCATACCTTTCAGTGGCTTCACATCCTATGAAATATACACATGTAAGTGATATCGTTCTGCTAAAGAAAAGGCCTTTAAGTGTAAAATAGGAAATGCACTAGGTTAAGCAGATAGTCCCAAAGCTATAATAGGGTGACGTATTATGACAAGTACTGCCCATTTCATGAATGCTATAAAATCTAGTATATCTACAAACTTAGGTTAGATTGCATATTCAATTCTAAAGAGAATCAGATTTATGTCATCCATTTGTAAGAAGTTTTATCACAGTAGACAAGTTTTGCTTTCCATCCTTTTTAGGTGAATGCTAAAACAGAGATATGAGAAAGAAAGGTGATTTTGAAAAATGCTACTATGTATGTATCTGTAATATTCTAAATTTGCAACATGAACGCATATTTTTATACGGTATATCCATCTTCCTTATTATTCAAATTAAGATTACCGAAAATTAAGATGCCAATTCAAATAAGCTTTTACCATATTTCATTAATATTACTGTTAATGCTTAGAAAGGATAAAAATACTTGCAACTTTTTAAGACATTATAAAATATACAAGGATTTTTGATAATCAATTATGACAAAAGGCATTGGTTGATTTCTTGATTGTATGTTGTTTAACGTCCCATTAGAATATTTCACTCAGATAGAGAAGTCACCGTATGCCTGTAAAGGGCTTCAAATTTTGATAATAAATCTACACTCGGGGCCATTGAGAAGTGTATTTTTTATCGTGCCAAAGCCTATCGCGACACAGGACTTCGGATTTTAAGTTTTCATCCAAAAGACATATGACTTTCACTTCTGATGCCAAGCGCTTGGCGAAGAAACAGTCACTACCTATGTTTACGTCTTAGGTTTGACGCGGCGTGGCAAAGGAGAATGGAACCCAGACCTCCCGATCACGAAGCGAACGATCACCACAACGTTACTGTAACTGAAGACGTATGTACAATTGTTAAAAAAAATTAAGTCTTTTCTTAAGAAAATTTAACTATATCAAATTTCTTAGATATCATATTAAAGGTGTAAATGTTTATGATGTTAAGAAACTTAGAATAACCAAGAGATCTGCTGAAAGTATATTTGTAATATAATATAGAAAAATATATAGCAAGATCTAAATTTTCTTTGAAATCTCAGCAAAGAGGTAGGACTATTACATCCAAATAAAAAATAATGTCTGAGAAAAATTATTCTTTTACATTCTTTGTCTTTGTGCAGCTCCATAGCATCTAGATAAATTAATAATCTACATTATTGTTTTTAAACAAATTATTTCCTTTTGATTTTATTGATTAGATTTAAACATTGGCAATGGTTTTATATTAATTTAGTCATTTTTGTAATTTTCAAAGCAATGGATCACTTATACTGCGTCAAGTCAAGGCTAGTGACGTCATGTATGACACAAGATTTGCTTCCTAATAACTCGGCAGTATTGTTATCAAATGTTGTGATTTTACATGCTTTTATAAATAATTGATTAAATAAATGAGTGCAAGTTGTAATGTATGCATCATCATGTGGTTAAATAAATTTTTGTCGCATGTCAAATTTTTAATGACATAACAATGAAATTTCCCACACGATGCATCACAGATGTGAACTCAGGCCCTTCTTGACGTAACTGAGTGTATTCCAAGTTTCTTGCAAAACATAGTAAAGGTATTAATATCACGAGGGGTGATCAAAAAATTTGCAAACTATGTCTATATTTACCAAACCACATAGTATTAAATGTATTTATGTGAATTAAAGACATACCACTTACAATAACTTCGCATAACTGAACGTAGGTAAAATTTTGGAACATTCCATTACTGTAAGCCACTTCAGGAAATCTCTCGTTGTAAAATATGACATAACGTCCAAATGATTCACAAATATGTAATGCGTTTAAGCTAGGTAAATCACTCCCACTGTTCTTGTAACAAAGATACGAATTTCCCAACCTGTGTAAGTCTGTTGTGTTTGAAATATATAGTTGGTAGCCATACATAATTTCTTTCTGTTGGTGCTCTAAAATTAAAATATTGATCAAAACTTTCAGTTTAAATATGATCATGTTCAGTCAAACTCTTCCCTTATTTCATGCAACTAGCATAATGCTACCGTAGGAAAGTTACACAAGCAATGTAATGCATTCAAGAAATAGAATTGAAAGTCTCATCAAATTATAAAATTCTTACTACTTTGACACATGCTTAATATTCATAATGTATTTTATCATGCGTAAAAAATATTAGTTAATACAATGTTTAGAACACAATTTATTCTGTCACATACACTCCCACATACACACCCGCCCACACAGGAGTAGTTATATCAACCTTCCAGAAAGTAACACAATATCTCAAATCTATTGAGGTGAAAAGACACATTTCCTGGAATCACTCATTTTCCTGCCAAATATTTACCATCTGCTGAAGCTGTTGTCTGTGATCCATTAAAGTAAATCTCGATATCATGTATACTTTTTATTTCCTGTAGATCAACATACCACCATGCCGGATTGTCTGCTCCTGTAGAGGAACATGTGCTGATATCTTTGTCAACAGCCTTGTCAGGAGAAAAAACCTCACTATCTTCATACCTACTACTTTGTCTTGCTTCTTTAAACTTGGAGATATCATCTATCAAAAGATTGTTGACTTAGATACATATTTTCTTACACTTTTCTTTCAGATATCGAAAGAAGTAATATATATATATATATATATATATATATATATATATATATATATATATATATATATATATATATATATATATATATATATATATATATATATTACTTTAGATATCTGAAAAAAAAGTGTTTTTTTTTAGGTCAAGCAGCGAATAATTACTGAATGAACAAGTACTGTAGCAAACTTTTCCTGGCAGTTTAGAAGAATATAATGATTTTAAAAAAGTTTGAACTTATATCTTTCGTGCAATTAAAACTGTATACAATAAATTAATTGCGATATTTCATTGAAATCTGAAGGTAAATAGTTTATAAAAGCTTTTTATTGATGATTTAAGATTTTGTGGAAAATATTTGCTTTTTCAATTATTTACGTAAGTATCAAAGAATACAGACAAATGTTACAGAATGGAATAGATTTCTAATTACCAATATATTCTGTGTTTAAAAAAAATAACGATTTGAAGAATAATATCAAATATGCACATATTGTACGCTTGAACAGCATTCAATCAAAGTATTTAGCAGTGATCGATTAAAAAAACAAAAACAAATTTGTATTCAGGGCATGAAAAGGGACCCCTGGAACTTCCAGAGGTGGGATAAGGTGCCTAAGAGGAGTAAGTTTCCCCTGTCGACCGGCCACAACCGCCGTGAGTCAGTATTGATCGGGAAGGTGGAGTAATCTGTAGTTAAATTTACTATAAAAACAATGACTTAACAATTGGAAAGAAATATGTCAGTTAAAATGAAAACTTGCAAACAACCATTACAACGAATACTGAATTTCATAATGCTGACTTCAAACGAGGTTTTTTCCCTCGAAATTCCTGTAACATTATCTTATATGGTCATATTATATTAAACACCATATTCAAGTCATAGTGGAATACCACTACATAAATAAGGAAATATGATGATGAAATAGCTAAAGTTGTCTCGTTTGATATACAGTTTGTTTGTTAGTTAAGAAATAAAGTTTGCGTTTTCATGAATGTTGAAGGATAACCTCGGAGGTCGAGAAATGTTGTTTATTGTTTATATTTCAAACAACATTTAGAAACCAAGGAGATTATATTACAGCATTCACAACAACATGAACTTTATTTCTATTCTGATAACATCTCTAAAATACAGCTAATCATTTCCTCTATAGAGAAATTGATATGAGCATTTTCACATTCATTTACTCGTTTTATTTGACACAATTGTTCCGTGAAAAGTATATTGAGGCACAGGGATCGGAAATTAAGAAATAATGACTTTGTCCAACGTCATAAAACACATCACCGGATAATTATATTTTGTCTTTTGTATTGAATGATATGTCGGAAAATTATCCACGTATAAAGTTGAAATTTTCAACATTTTTAAACACTTTTGTTAAAATTCATGTTCCTTATAATGTTTGTAAACATATTCTACATAATACATGTATTAATTTTATGGAGACAGTCCACGAACTTTTTCATAACCTCTCGTATTTTCACATATCACAACAGTAATATGTGAAGAATCCTATGTTAAGTAGTTCGGCTAGAATTACAAAAAATTCTATTTCACTAAATAAATTTGATTATTAGGAGGTTCGATCCTGAGCTTTTGAGCAGATTTTTATCAGGACCTTTATTTCTAAAATTATGCATCATATTTAAGTTCTTACATACAAGTTTGATTTATTAGTGCAAATTAAATTGTGTTCAACCAAAAAAAAAAAATAATAAAAAAATAAAATAAAAAAAAAAAAAAAGAAAAAGAAAAGAAAAGAAAAGAAACGGCGATTAATTTCCATACAAATAGGATTTAGCCAGGAACTCTACTTTGTGGCAGAAGTTTTTTTAAAAAAAAAAAAAAAAAAAAAAAAAAAAAACCCTCAATTTTTCCCTTTTGAAGTATTTACAGTTCTGTTTATTTTAGATTCCTATTTTTCAATTATAGTTGCACATAGAGCTATTTTGTGCATTGAAATGTTGTTTGTTGGTTCTGAAATATCGATCAAATTATTTCTAATGAATATTATCATTATATTGTGACAAACATACATTGTAGTAAATATATTCTGAAAGTCCAGGAAATGAAAAGAGGAAATTTTATCATGAAATGACATCTAAAAATTTACATGAGAGACCCCCGTTTTTGATTTTCTTATCTGAATATATAAGATAACTTTGATCAATCTGCTTAAATTCAGCAAAAGTTTAAGACTTTAAAATGATTTTTTGTTTGCTTATTAAATGTTCATGCCAGAAATATGACATTATGTGAGTGTAGAAAGGTCAAATAATTGATTATGCGAAGTAATATGAAACTTCTTCTTTGTCACAATTTTGATGTGTCTTTTTTTAAGATAGAATAATAGCATACTTTGTCCAATGATTTATTTGGATAAAAAATATTGGAATGGAAACTTCGAAGATTTGATTTATGATTAAGACAAGTTCGGTGCAGAAAAGAAGCATATTGACCCCATCTTTGTTTTCATTTTCAATTAAGCTATGTGTGTAGATACCAAAAATATACCCGACAAAAAATTCTTAAGACTTTAAATATCTGGATCCAATCTCGTTAAGTAAACTTTGAACCAAACAAATTTTCTTCATTAAACTATTAACTCCGTGGAAATATTTTTGTGTCACAATGTGTAGAAGAAAAGCGAAACTGGACCTGATCTAAAGGTTGAAAAGTTACTGGGGTTTTCTGAAGTGAACCAGGATAGATCTTAAAGTAATAATACGTGGGATCAAATTAATTTTCTCTTCAATGCCATCAGCCTATTCGTTAATTGTAAACTAAAAAACTCATCGTATTCGTTTGTTTATTCGTTTTTAACGTCCGTTTGAGAGTTTTTTTATCCACATTTGGATGCCACCACTTGCCGGTGGACGGCTGGAAATTTTAAAATATACTCGGCACTCAGGGCCATTGGGCAGTGAGGAATCTTTTTCGTGTCATCACCAACTACGACACGGGCCCTGATTTATGCGATCTCGTCCGAAGGACCAGTCTCCCTGTCCAGCAGTGGGAATCAAACCGGCGACGTTAGAATCAACTCCTTACTCAGCGATTCTTGAGCACCATTGCGCGAAACGGGCTACTCATATTCTTAATACATATGTTTAGTAATACTATCAAAACATCTTAACATCTTTTATATATATATATATATATATATATATATATATATATATATATATATATATATATATATATATATATATATATATATATATATATATATATATATATATATATTCGTCAAGAAATCAAATCTAGTAAAATTTATGAACCTACATAGATTCAGAAATTTTATTAGTTTTTTTTTTTTTTTTTTTTATTAAAGAGCAACATCTATTTTTTATTTTATCATCTGAACTTCACTTGTGTAAATTGTTTCATGTACTTGAAGGATGATAATTTAAAATATACTATATAAAAGTCCCTTTTTAATCATTTTAAGCATTTACAAGTGGTTATGGTAAAATGAATTCAAAAGAAAACTGATTTTAAGAAATTTAACAATTTACCTGCATGAAGACACGTCTCCTGTTACTAAATTCTCAAAGCGTAAAAAATTATATACTTGAGAGAGAGAGAGAGAGAGAGAGAGAGAGAGAGAGAGAGAGAGAGAGAGATCAACTAAGTAAAGATAAAATAAAAAGTTTTGATAGAGGTATCCTATAAGAAAGTTTAAGAAGTCTTAAAAAAACCAAACATTGTTTTTCATCGGCACCGAAAGGACATCTACCTTGAATCAACAAAAAATATAATCATGGAGGTTTAAATAAATAATTCTTGTGGAATGTTTACAACAGTCTCATTGATCGATAAATGACAAATCGAAAGTACAAAAATGTCTTAGCCACACATTCAGACATAAATAGCTGTATTATTATTTTCGCATATACTATTCTCTTATCTATTAATCGGAGAAGTGCTGATCTTTTTCGGAGATCTCACTTAAGATGTATTATTTAAGTCAAAACAAATGTACAAAAATCAATAATCATTTTAAAATCTTAGATAATCAATATTTCAATTTAAAAAAAAAAGTTTTATATGTACCATATCCTGATATCACAAAGATGTTGATGTAGAGAAACAAAAGAAAGTCCAGACTGAGTATAATTTCCATGCTATTTTAGATCGTTGTTGACGCTATCTGCAAAGCATTTAAATCGCAAAGACTTAGGTATGTTTTCGATATATATACTTTTCTTATCTGAAAATTTAAGGAGAATTAGCCTTTTAAACGCATCAAAGATAGAACCTGTTGTGTTTCAAATCCTGTCATTATTCTCTTTCTAATGAACTACATGTATTACAATAAAGATCAATATCAAGGAAATATTTTAATTAATTATGGTGTAACTTCATTAAGTCATTATGGTGACGTCAGCATATTTTAAGCTGTTTTACCGTGTGTGCTCCTGGTTATATATAGATCAGTGCGTACGCAGTAGACAAACACAATAAAAAACGAAAGAGCGAAGATTATCTCATTTTGATTGCAATGTGCAAACAAGGCTTCAATTGGATTTATTACATGTACATGAAAGGTAAGAAATGTTCAGCTTACATTATTATTCAAGTCATTGCATATAGAGTAATAAAAAGATGCATAGAAAGAAACAAATTGTATCACATTTTATCGTTATACCTTTAAAAATTAGTTCCTATATAAACATATACTTAAAAGTCTAACAATCCCAGTATTTTACTGAGCAGTCATAAACAAGACCGCGGAGTGAAATATTGTACATATCAATGAGATATTGGACAGCCTGTGTCACACTGTGGGTGGGATAAACTTAATCTCTTTGCATTCGTTGGTGTTCAACAATGATGGAATTGACCAAGATTAACCGCAGTTCGGGTAAAGGATATTTACATCATGAAAGCCAGCACAAGATGCATGTATGTAAAAAAAAATAAAGGAATAACAAA